CAAGGGCCCCTGTCATCACCTAGCTGCTGCTGGGTGCACCAGCCGGCATGTGAGCAGGGAGCTGCAGCCCGCCAGGGCTTTTCCTCCTGCCCCCAGCCCTCCCCTCTGCTCCTTGCAGCCCCAGCAGGGCTCTTGGTCCAACCAATCCCTCCTGATGCCATGGCAAGTCCCTTCCTTCTCCCCCTGCCCCCATCCTGGTGGTCCCGGCAGAGGAGGGGGCTCAGCATGGTCCAACTCGGTGCACTGCCCTGGACCTGGTCCTGGGGGAGCACCCAGCACCCGATACCTGCTGCCTATGATCAAGAGCAGTGCCGACAGCCTGTGTTTTACTTGGAGAACTTGTCCCAGCATCAGCAGCTCCGCCACGAGCTCCTCTGCCTCCCCAAGCCGCTGCCAGCCCTGAGAGTTTAGTTTGCTGTGGGTTTTGCTTCTTTTCTCCTGGTTATTCATCCCCTGGATATTGTTTGTTTTGCCCAGAATATCCTGTCCCCAGGAGAGCCTCAGCCCTGGCTGCCCCCGGCACCGGCTGGACCGTGACGGCCCGTGGCTGGGTCAGACACTGGGGAGGGTTTCGCAGCTATCTGCAGCATCCCTGCGCTGAGTGAGAGCAGGGGGGCGTTTGGGGCAGGGGTTGGGGCTATCGTGACCCCCTTTCCCTTTGCTTTGCCAGCACCATGGCTCAGCCCAAGGGCACAGTGGTCCTCGCCTACAGCGGGGGTCTTGACACCTCCTGCATCCTGGTGTGGCTGAAGGAGCAGGGCTACGGCGTCATCGCCTACCTGGTGAGCTCCCCACGGACCCCTCCCCAGGGGCTGGGGGTGGAGAGGGTGCTGAGCCTTGGGTCTGGGGTCCTGGGTGGGGGACGGAGGTCCTGGAAAGTGTATGGCTGTGGCAGTGACCCTGCTCATGCTGGTTAACCATCGCCCAGCCAGGGTGCTGCTCTGTGAGCTGCCAGCCCTGTGGGGCACAGCCTGTCCCTGCCGGCTAACGACCTTCTGCTAATGAGGGTGGTGCATCTGGGCAGAGCCAAGGGGGGGGTAGAGAAGGTATGGAAGGTATGGCCCCGAGGTATGCTGTCTTGGGGGGGAACCATCTTCTGCCCATTCTGGGTGGCCCCGATCTGTTCAGTGCCTTGGGTGATGCCCCACTCCAGGTTGGGCTTGTGCTGAGGTTTGTGATCTTCTTTCAAACTTAGTTTTGTTTTTTCCCCCCTTTCAGGCTAATATTGGGCAGAAGGAAGACTTTGAGGCAGCACGAAAGAAAGCGCTGGCTCTGGGGGCCAAGAAGGTAACAGCATCGCTCCCTCCAGGTGTGCAGGGGGCTCTGAGGTCCCCCTGCTCCCCGACATGGGGCTGAGCCCTGGAGTCTCACACACCCCATGGCTGGGACCACCATGAGGGGGGACAAGAGGAATCCCTTTTCCAGAGGTTTTGCACTAACACCTTTTAGCAGCATCTAGGAAGGCAGAGGCGAAGTGACCCTTTGCTATGTTGCCCCCAAAGTCCTGGAAGGTGGGGACCTGCCCCCCAAGCTGTTCTCCTGTCACAGGGCTCCCTCCATCCCGGCAGGTTTACATTGAGGACATCAGGCAGGAGTTCGTGGAGGAGTTCATCTGGCCGGCCGTGCAGGCCAATGCGCTGTACGAGGACCGGTACCTGCTGGGGACGGCGCTGGCTCGGCCCTGCATTGCCCGCAAGCTGGTGGAGATTGCCCAGAAGGAGGGAGCCCAGTATGTGTCCCACGGGGCCACCGGCAAGGTGAGGGAGGACGGAAGATGGGATGGAGTGCTGGGGGGGGGACAGCCCTGCAGCCCCTTGGCTGAGCCGTGGGAGCCAGGAGGGTCACAGGGCATTTTGTGGGTGCTCTGCAGGGAAGTGTTCTGACATTTCCTTCTCTCTTCTGGGATTTCTGCACCCAATTTCGGTTCCCTGTCGGGAAGGCTCGGGTCACAGCTAAACCCACCCACTTTCACAGCAGCTTTCTAAAAACTCTTATGGACCAGAGCTGCTCGGGCCAGGACCCGCTGGGGCTGAGCCAGCACCTCCCGGGGTGTTTTGGGGAAAAAAAGGGGCGGTTTGCTCCTGTCCCCATCCCGGTCGCCGGTGCCACCGGCCGCAGGAAGGACCTTTTGCCGCTAGAGGCAGCCAGAGACCGCGGAAAGGATCCTCGGGGCCAGCTCCGTCACGGCGAGGG